GACATGAGTCCACTGGTTTAACGGATTCTTTGGGTTTTCACTTTTATCTTGAAGCCCCTATGCATGTGAAAATATTAACATCTACAAAGAAACACACAGTTTTTCTCCTATTAATCTATCTTTTCTCAGTTTAATTGTAGGCTCCCAGATACAAAACCTGAGAGGGTAGAAGAAAATGTTTGTCCTTTCCTACACTTATCAGTATTACATTGCTTGTATGACCTGCTTTGGTAATAAGAAAAAGAAAATAAAGTAATAAAAGAAAGGGCATCAATTATGGTGATGGGAGTTTTGGAATATATACATATAAATGTAGGTATACATACACATATATGTATAGATAGATAATTTTTTTTTCTAAATGCCTGCCTTCATTCCTTCCTTCTTTCCTTCATTCTTTATTGCTTAAATAATTTGGTACTAAAGCCAGTAGGTGAAATTGAGCAAAAGTAAGTATCCACATTGGACAGTGGGTGCTAGTGGCCCAGTGCAAGGAGGTGGTTCCTAAGAGGGATGAGAAAGGCCTTTGCATGGAGTGGGGTTGTAGCAATGGCGTGGCATGTGCGCCCACGCAATATAGGGACAGCATCCGTACATGTGGGCAATTGCAGAACGAGGTGAGTGGATGCCCACTCAGGGGGCAGTGGGGATGAGAAGAGACTGATTACCTTGGGGGTTGATCCAACAAACAAATATATTGGGGTTATGGGGGCCAGGCTTCTCCCTCTTAGAAAAAGGATTTACGAATATGGAAAGGGAGGAAACTGGAATAAACCCTGAAGTATGTAAAATCAGAATTGGATATATCAGTCATTTTGTGTTTGTGTTTTCGATAGTATATGTATATAGGTGTGTGTGTGTGTGTGTGTGTGTGTGTGTGTAGATATATATGCCCTAGCTCTTTCCATTGAGAGAGCCTAAGGGCAATGCCATTGCAAAAACATTGAGAATACCTACTGTTCAGATCTGTTACTAAATACCATTCTCTGCAAAAAAATAACAAAAGAAAAACAGACAGACAAACAAAACAAAAAAAAGCCCAAAGCTCTTTGAAGATATACTTGATTCCAGGGCTGGGGTTGGAAAAGTATAAGATAAGCCTGGAAAATTTTTGTGTGTGTGCCAGAGAGTACAGAAGTGTTCAAAGAATGATGAGAATATGTCAAAAGAACTGAAAGCCAGCCTAAAGGGGCTAGGCAAATCCGGGACAATTTGAGGGTCAGTAAACAACAATAGAAACAGATATTGCCTACTGAATAAATTAAGCAACCATGAGTTCATACTAATATACAAAAATGAATGAATGAATGAGAAGAAAAAGCTTTTCCTTACACTATACAACACTATATATATATAATACTCACTAATAAATGTGGAAGGAATGATGGATTTAGGAAATCACCATTTGGCATCATAGTTGAAAATCTTCCAAGGCTTCTAGACAAAGAACAAAACTTTCAAAGGCAATTGATAATGGAAAGATAACTAGACTAGTAATAGACTTCTTACCTGTAACCTTGGTTGAATCAGACAATTTGCATTTATATTTACAGACCACTGGCAATATCCCTCTATCAAGGGAAGTTCTCATCCCCGTGTGAGAGCAAAGTAAAGAAGTTTTGGAGTGTTGCAGAGGCTCCAAAAATATCCTACCTGTGTACCTTTCTGAGAAAATTTTCTAACCAAATGAAAATCAAATCTCATGATAGGGAAGATGAAAAGTTCAGGAAACATTGATGAACAATGAATTTCATAATATTTACAATTATATCTAAATGGAATATGACAGTTAACTGGAGATTATACTCTGGTAAGAATTTTGAAACAGGAGATTCTATGAGGAAAAACTTGATGACTGTCTGGGTTTGAAATCCTATAATTATCTCATACAAACTCAAGATTTGGGCTTCCCTGGTGGCACAGTGGTTGAGAGTCCGCCTGCTGATGCAGGGGACACAGGTTCGTGCCCCGGTCCGGGAGGATCCCACATGCCGCGGAGCGGCTGGGCCCGTGAGCCATGGCCGCTGAGCCTGCGCGTCCGGAGCCTGTGCTCCGCAACAGGAGAGGCCACAACAGTGAGAGACCCACATACTGCAAACAATAGGGAAGGTATGGGCAGTCAAATGTTCTAAAGGTTTCATTTCAGTGGAAGAAGTGGAGAGGTATTAAGCTAGTAATAGAGTGTGGTAGGAAGGCAAAGTTGTTACTTATTTTTTGATCCATCGATAGAAAGATGTAATTATTACAGTTGGGAAGACAACTATTAGTAAAATTGAAAAAATGTATGTCTGGTAGGGAATGAGCAAGTTGGGGGACATTATTTAATTTTCACATATCCATAGAAATATAAAAATAACTTCTAAAGCCAGGAAAGTTATGAGTAGCAGAATGGAAATCCAATTTATGAGTGGAAGAGAAACAGATAAAAAGAAACCTTATCAATCTAATAAGAGTGAGGAAAAGAGAGAAAAGAAAGTATACAAATGTACAATAAAGTGGAAGAAATAAAATTAAGTCTATAAATTTTCACTACCATTGTGAAATTCTCCTATCAAAAGGCAAAAACTCTCAGATTGAGTTTGAAAATCAAATTCGATTATATTCTGTATCAGGCAGGGCCTCAGTAAGATGCAAAATTGGAAACAGGATGATTTGAGAAAGGCCTCCTCTGGAAGGTGTGCATGGGGAGTGGAAGTACAAGGCATAGTGTGATACTGGGTGAACACCAGCAGGGCTGTTCCCACTCCGAGGCCCAAAAGGACAAAGGGAGGGTGGGATTCCCAGAACCTGGAAAGAAAGAATCATGTAGAGTAGGACACCCAGAGAGGAGCAGTGACTCTTAGTTGAAGGTCATAGAGGTGACATCACAGGAAGGAGTCAAGAATTAACTTCAGTCTCCCTCCCTTGATTTAGCCAGAGAGCAAGGGAAGAAGTTGGTGTGGTCCCTACAAGTCAGCCCTTTTGCAGGGACCAGAAGGGTGAATAGTGGGTCCAGAGGAGCAAGCAGACAAGATACTTGCCACACATACTGTTTACAAGCACTAGACCAAAATTAAAGCAACAAGGAAAACTTTGAAGAAAGGAAAGGTATATAATAGTAATAGGATGTTAATAGGATTTTCCTATTACCCAGAAGTTGTGAGATTTATGCTAGACCCAATGCTGGGGAGCAGATGGAGACAAATGTTCTCCCATAAGAGAACTATCTGGAAGTCAAGCTGCCAGAATATCCCGGCAGGACTTCCTAATGGGCACATCAGCCAGTACCCTCCTCTCCCTAGTCTGTGTAAAGAAAGATTTGGGGATGGGGAAGAGTGATGTTTAGGCCTTAAGGAAAACAATATTCCTGGAGAGAAGCACTTGAGGAGATGCACAGAGATTGTAAATGAGGTGACTTGTGTCCAGTTCCTTGGCTGGATGCTTGCTGAGTTGCAGAACACACAGGTATGGTCAGGTGATGCCACCAAAGTAATGCATACAGAGAGTTCTTGGGAGAGTAATGTGATCTCCTGAAGTATGGGGCATACCAGAACATGGACACTGTGTCTACTTCTGGGCTGGAGAATCTTGAAGATGGCCACTGAATGACCCGTGCCATCAGGGCTTGAAAGAACAGTGGTGAAGTGTAACCAGGAAGAAGATGAGGCAACCGTCCTCCCATCCCAAGTCCAACTTGATGTGACATGATATTACGGAGGATCTTATACTTTTTCCATAGTAGATAGAATACCAGCCACTATATCATTGGATAGTTATACCACATTTTAAATGACTTCTCTACAATCTACATGGACAAACAATTCATACAAAGGCTACTGGTAAATTAGGTACATGAAGTGCTTAACCAAAGCAGTATTTGTAACAATGGTAAAATACCATCTAAATGGCCCAAAATAGTGGATGGTGAAATGAATTATACACGTATCAACTAGATGAAATTTAATTCTTAAAATAAGAATTCTTTAAATTGTGTAGCAAGATAGGAAATTATACTGTTAAGCAAGGAGAGTAGCATAAAAAAAATATTCCTAGTCTATGATTGGAACAGGGTAAAAAAGGGCATACACCAATGAGCAAATACAAAAAGCAAGCACAAATAAAACAAGAACTGATGTCTTAGGCTAGTGGAATGTGGATGAAGTCTTTTTTGCAGTCATCACTTCTGTTGTCATACAGTTGCTTAAGCAATAAATGAAATCAAGGGCTCAAAACAGAGAAACAAATGGGTGGAAGCAGAAGCAGCAACAATTAGACAACCCTTGAGGAATTTTGCTTTAGAGGGAAGCAGAAAATGGGGTGGTACCTGGAAAGGTCTGGGCCAAGGGAAGGGAGGGACTTTTATGAAGTTAGGGAAAGAGCTACATATTTTTATGCTGATCATATTTTTATGATCTACTGGGAAGGAGCAAAACTGATGCTGGGGAACAACCCTTCAGCAAGGGAGAGGAAATGTGAGCCCATACTCAGGTGGAGGTGGGCACGGGGCAGGTCAAGGGCCACATAGAGTACATGGGAGCAGATACAAGTAGGTTGGCTGTTTGATGGTGGGAAGTTGAGGGAATTCTATTCTGATTGATTCCATTACCTTCAGTGAAATAAGAAGCAGAAGGAGGAGTCAACTAAGAATGGGGTTTGTTGGAAGTTTAAGATAAAAGGAGAAGTGTGAAATGGTCTCAGAGGTTGAAAGTGTTCAGCAACCGAGGCAATATGGTAGAATTCCCTGAGAAAACTGAGGGTCTACTTGAGGTTTGGGCAGTAACAGGTCTTCTTGACATATCCTGTGCAAGACAACCTATCTCAACTATATGATATCAACGCCTTGAACACATGGTCTTTCTTTTTGCTGTGTCCCTTAAAGAGTTCAGTTTCGGTGCCGTAAATTGCTAGTATCCTCCCTTTTCATTTTATGTGTGAACAATGATGTTGAAAGTACACTTGCAAGCAGCTGTCTTGAAGTATCAACTTCCATTTACTCTTTGAAAGTTTTATCATTATACCAGAACATCTTCTGGAAATATCAGAATGAGCTGACCCTAGGCACTGACGCCATCACCCATCAGAAGCCATGACCTGTGATTTATGGGTGTGAATTAGATCGTAGACTCTCAAGAGAATTGACACCCTCAGCAACTGCAAAATGAAGAAATCTGTGTCATTTTGCTCAGGATGAGTGAGGTAATTTTTCTGTTTTTTTTTTTTATTTTGGTTTTGTTTTTGTTTTTAATGTGATGGCTTTAAGTGAAAACAGGGCGACACAAATTGCATGACTAGCTCCTCTCAAAAGTTAGGTATTTTTTGCAGCCTACACACTGATGTCACTAACAGTACTTAATACCAGTGAGGTGGATATGATTGCACAGTGGGATTTATTCAAAGTGTATCAGGAAATGGGGGAGAGAAGTGAACACATTAAGAGGAAAAATAAATTTAAATTAAGTGCTTATAATAATTGACCAAGAAAAACGGTCAATGAATATTTTATCTTTTGTTCCTTTAAAAATCCATGTCGTATGGAAATGTGATGAGCAGAAAAGAACAATTAAAAGGTACAGGTACCTGACTGGCTTTTCCTGTCTCTTTCCCCAAATGTCAGGCTCATAGGAACCCCTATGGTCCACCTCTGTGCAGATGAAAATCTTTCCTTTCCAGACTAAGAGTCAAAATTCTGAATATTTATAGCCTGAAGTTATTGTCTGTGAATCTGGTAACTTGGACCAGAGAGTGTTGCTTTGAACACTGGTATTTTAGGCACTTTCCAGATAACATTGAAATGACCTTTTCTTAGCACTTGCCAAACTTATGAAAAAATTTAAAAATCTAAATTAACACAGTAATTTAGTGAACTGACATTTTTTGCACATCAAGGTGATGCCCGAGATGATACCCAAAGTGAATATGGAAAAAAGAGGGACTCTCATCATGCTTTCAGGAAAAGTGTAAACTGACACAACTTTTTCAAACAAACTTGATAAAATGTACCCCAAAGTCTTAAAACATTCATTTATTTAATCAGAAGTATTTATTTATTGAGTGTCTTCTATATCAAGGGCTGGAAATTATATTCTATCAGTGAGTGAATAGACATTACACAAATAATTAGAAGTGCAATGAGCCCCATGAAAGGGAAATCAAAAGGACATAAGAGCAAAGAATTAGTCCTAAGAAAGTAATTAGAATTATACAGTAAGATGTAATTTAAACAGTGAGAACTACCTAAATGTCCACAAGCAGTGGATTAAGTAAATTATTGTATATCCATGCAATGCAATAATACGATGGCATTAAGAATAAAGCTACAGAAAAATACTTAATGACATGTAGAAATGTTCATAATATACTGGTTAATGGAAAATGTTATAAAAATGTGTCCAGTATGACCCAATTTGGTAAAAACTAAACTATTTATAGATCTCTATCCTTATCCATCATCTATGAAGGATACACCAGAAAATGTTAGCATTATAATTGCTGGCTAGGGATATTACAGCAATACTTTCTTCTTTGTGCTTATCTTCATGAACATTCTTGTAGTTGTAAGAAATAATAATAGTAATAAGTATATAATTGGGCATGGGGTAACTGATATTTGAGAGAGAAGACCTAAGGAGTGTATTATTCAACTGTTCTTCTAAATTACGTAAAATCTGTTCTTGTATTAAATTAGATCAACAGAATACAGTGTTTCTGAAATACATTTTTAAAATCCTCTACAGAAATGCTTTCACCAAGTTACAACTGAATGTTGAACTTGGCTTTATTAAGGAAATCTGAGGAATATTTTCTTAATCTTTGGCTAAATTACAGTTCAAAATATTGGTCCTTACGTTACTTACTGCTCCCTTTATAAAGAGCCACTTAACAGGTTTCTAAGAGAATTGATGCCAGGAAAGAGTTAACTTTTCCGTGAGCTCTTATCAAATAGCACACATTTTAGAACACAACTTATTTCCCTTATTGCCTTGTCTGCCAGGAAGATTAGAGCTAAATTCAGTGATCGATTAATGTAAAGATCCAGCTCCTGGTACAATTAGTACTGTCCTTTTAAGTGACATGTGTTGCTCATTTTTATAATTTTAAGCTCTTCTGTCTTTTAATAGACAAGTCCCCTCAAATTGTTTTTCTAAATAGACATGTAAGGTAGAGAGATATCCAGATGCTCTATAATAAATAAACAGGAAAAATTGGAAATTAGTACTCATTTGCTGTTCGTACATATACATAATGCTAAAGTTTTTAAATAGTTGTCCTTATAATAACATTATTGATTGTTTTTCTAACTATGTTTGCCTTTTACATGGATAGTGAAAACATTAACTTTATCTCAGCCTATTTGAATTGCAATGGTTTTAAATAGAATCTTTAAAATAACTTCATTATTCTATTAGTTAACTACTGGTCAGAATGTTAGTTTTTCAGACAGCACATTGTTTTGGAGAGTTTAAATTAATGAAATGCATTTTCTGATCATAGGAGGAATATTGAGAGAACACTTGAAAATTTCAAGTCTAGTCAACACTGGTTCCAGTTTTTTTGTTTTTTTTTTAATCACTACTCCTTTCTGTATTACTTTTGTGAGAAGACCTTAACACTAATTTGAAATGAAATTTTGTATTCTCCTAATGACTAGGGACTGAAGTGTTTAAATAACCTTTTTCATCCCCAGGGAGATGACTGCTGTAGGTCAGTCTTGAGGTCATTGGCTGAAGAGTTACAAAGAAAGTCATAGTTTTGGCTGAAGATATAGTAAATTGGACTACGATAAAGCTGATGCTTCCTCTGAGATGAAAGAGAAAAATATTCAATCCTCTCCTCTGAACATAAATAAACATTGGCTATAGTTAGCCAGTTTGGGTGGGTTGGAGTTTAAAATATTTCTAAATTTGGTACACATTACCATATGTAGTCAGGTTAAAGCTACTGATGTCTGGGAACATTTCTGGGAAAACAGAAGTATATCCAAGAAAAGATAAAGAATCTTAGAACTGTAGAGATGGAAGCCCTATGGTGGTCCATTCTCCTGTGTCTAGAAAGGATGACAAAGAGTCCATAATAAGTAGAAACTCTCTTTGGAGAACTGAAGGAAGAGTGTTTCTGCAGCTTCTTGCTGTAATGAACTTTCATTCAGCCTTTGCATAAAAGAACCTGATGAAAAGTGGCAATTTGCATGATTATGGTAATCAGTGTCACCCTATCTTGAAAACTCTGTCTTGTCAATGACCCCTTAAGATATTAATGTTCCAGGGCTTCCCTGGGGGCGCAGTGGTTGAGAGTCCGCCTGCCGATGCAGGGGACACGGGTTCGTGCCCCGGTCCGGGAAGATCCCACATGCCGTGGAGCGGCTGGGCCCATGAGCCATGGCCGCTGAGCCTGCGCGGCCGGAGCCTGTGCTCCACAACGGGAGGGGCCACAACAGTGAGAGGCCCACGTACCGCAAAAAAAAAAAAAAAAAAAAAAAAAAAGATATTAATGTTCCATATGTGATGTATTCAAAGTTCAGAGAAATTGTACCCTCTTATCTGCTCACTAAACATCTATTAATGAAGCCCAGTTATGGTAGTTTTGGGGGCAATTATTTACCCTATTGGTTTCTACTAATCATGTGATCTTTTATTTTTCTTTTTTCAGTATACCAACAGCAATGATGACCTTTATTTTCAAATCATGGACAATCAGAGGTATAGATTTACACGGGGATTGTAGGCCTGGGATTAGGCCATTGAATTTTTAACTTCCATGTGGTATTTTTTACGTGACTTTTTTCTAAGCCAGATTCTGCCATGCTATACTTGCTCAATTTATTCTTTTTTTAAACTTAGAAGCAGAACTTTACTATATCTACTATTTTTACCTTAATCCTTCTAAGTTGTAGAAAGGCTTTTAAGTTTTAATTTTATCATCTGTACTACTAATTAGCATTTCCAGCTTTATGATGCTAAAACTTTAGCAAGAATGGCACCTCTGTGAAGGCACGAGCGCTGTTCACTGGCCAGAATGTAACACAGTACAGTTACTTTGGAGGTGAATTTGGCAATGTATTTTAAAATTAAAGTTGAAAATGCAGGAACCCAATAAATCCATCGCTAGGTAACTCTGGAGAAAAAGTTAAATATATGCACATGGAGATGGTCATCGCAGCACTGTTTGTAGTGGCCAAGACTTGTGTAAAACCTAAATGTACATCAGTCAGGAAATAATTTAGGACTCTGGAATACTCTGTAGCCATTAAAATGAACAAGGTAGATCCATGTTTAATTATCATGGAAAGAATTCTAAGACATACACTGAGCGAAAACACAAGTTACTGAAAGTTAGGGAAACGTGATACCATTTATGTAAAGATATATACACTCATACTAAATAACACTGTATCTTTTCTATGGTACACATATGCATGTAAATGCACAAAGAAAAATCTGAAGTGATACACCCCAAACTGAGAAAAATGGTTTTATCTGGGAAGAAGAAGGAAGTGGGGGTGGAGTCCAAAGAATACTCTCACCATTATCTGTAATGCTTGCATTTTTCACGAAGATATTGTATAACTTTGTATTATTGTACAAAGTTAATTTTTAACCAGTTAAAACCCAACAACAAAAAGAATGAAAAGAAACCTAATTCAAGGTGTCAATAAAAATGTTTAAAAGGAAAACATCCATAAGCTCACATTAAAAAAATACTCCTTCATTTTATAGAAATGGTAAATGAAGAAATAAGAAACCAATTATAAGACATTAGCTGCCTGAGAAAGTCCAGGAACATCTTCTCACTGGAAGATTCTCAACATGTCCTTGTGGACATTTGGGGAATGGGCACCAAATCAATCCCTGCTCTCTCCTGTTCCGTGATGTGGCCTATTTCTGGGCCCTCATCCCTTCATATTCAGTATGAATTTTGGTTTTATCTCTTATAATGGAACTGAAAATTAAAATACTTCAGAGTCCAACTTTGAGGAGCGAGGCAATAAGTGGATGAAGGGATACCTACAAAGATCTTCTCTCAAAATACAACTGCAGCCACTTTCCATTGGGGAGGATAAGATGGAGTGCAGAAGTCAGCAGAGAGCTGTCCCTGGAATCCTACAGGACGTGGCCAGAGACGACACAGGGCATCTTTACTTCATGGACCCTCTGCATTTACTTTCTGGTTTTTATTGAGGAATTTTACCTCAAATTATTATATTTTTCTCATTACATATGTTTTCAAATAAGTAGGAAAAATTAGTACATGCATATGGTTTAAAAAAATCAAGTAGTACAAAAACAGTACAATGAGAAGTCTTCCTTTAACTGCAGATTCCAGTCCCTAGAGGCAGACACTCCTGAAATATTCTGTCTATAAAAGCATGTATTGGGTTGGCCAAAATGTTCATTCGTTTTTTTCTGTAAGATGCCTCTAGTAGCACTTAGTTGTCTTTAACTTCATTCGAAACAATTTTGTTAGATTGTATTGTGACAGCTGTCGTATCAGCGTGTATTTTAAAAAAATTATCAATATTGGTGAATTTTTGTGTAACCCTTTTAATATTGAAGTTGGAAGAAAAAAGCAACATTTTCGGCATATTATGCTTTCTAATTCCAAGAAAGGTTAAAACGCAACTGAAACGCAAAAAAAAGATTTGTGCAGTGTATGGAGAAGGTGCTGTGACTGATTGAATGTGTCAAAACTGGTTTGCTGGAGATTTCTCACTGGACGATGCTCCACAGTCTGGTAGACCAGTTGAAGTTGATAGTGATCAAATTGAGACATTAACTGAGAACAATCAATGTTACACCATGCGGGAGATAGCTGACATACTCAAAATATCCAAATCAAACGTTGAAATCATTTGCACCAGGTTGGTCATGTGAATCACTTTGATATTTGGGTTCCTCATAAGTTAAGCGAAAAAAACCTTCTTGACTGTATTTCCGCATACAGTTCTCTATATACATAATCTACATAACGAAAACGTTCCGTTTTGAAAACAAATTGTGATGGGCAATGAAAAGTGGATACTGTCCAATAATGTGGAATGGAAGAGATCATGGGGCAAGTGAAATGAACAACCACCAACCACGCTAAAGGCTGGTCTTCATCCAAAGAAGGTGATGTTATGTATATGGTGGGATTGAAAGGGAGTCCTCTATTATGAGCTCCTTCCGGAAAACCAAACGATTAATTCCAGCAAGTACTGCTCCCAATTAGATCAACTGAAAGCAGTACTCGATGAATAGTGTCTGGAATTAGTCAACAGAAAATGGATAATCTTCTATCAGGATAACGCAAGACCACATGTTTCTTTGATGACCAGGCAAAAACTGTTAGAGCTTGGCTGGGAAGTTCTGATTCATCTTCTGTATTCACCAGATATTGCACCTTCGGATTTCCATTGATTTCAGTCTTTACAAAATTCTCTTAATGGAAAAAAATTCAATTCCCTGGAAGACTGTAAAAGGCACCTAGAACAATTCTCTGCTCAAAAAGATAAAAAGTTTTGGGAAGATGGAATTATGAAGTTGCCTGAAAAATGGCAGAAGGTTGTGGAACAAAAGGGTGAATATGTTGTTCAATCAAGTTCTTGGTGAAAATGAAAAATGTTATCTTTTGTTTTTACTTAAAAACCAAAGGCATTTTTCTGCCAACCCAATATATATTGCAGGCATATGCATGTTTTCCCTTCATGAAAATGGAAGCATGCTAAACACATTGCAATATGCCTTACATTTTTCACTTATTTTCTACTTTTTCAGTATACCTAGATCATTCCACAGCCATGTATATAGATTGACTTCATTAAAAAAAAAACTGCAATAGTTCTTTATAAATTGCATCTGGCAATGATGGGCTCTCAAAAAACATTAAATGAATGACTCCACATAGTTTCTTTCATAAGCCTCTAATGAAGACCATTTTATTGTTTATTTCCAGTCTTTTGCAATCACAAGCAAAGCTGAAGTATATATGTTCACGCATCTTTGTGCATGTGTGTGAATATGTCTGTAGGATAAATTCCTAGACAAGAAATTGCTGAATTAAAAGATACACTTATTTCAAATATTGAATGCTATTGTTGATCGATCTCCCACCAGCAGTGAAAGAGAGTACCTGTTTCCTTCAACTCTCTAATCCTATATGTTAAACTTTTTGACTGTACCCATCTGAGAAATAAAACAATGTATTTCTTTCCCTCGAATGTTTTATATTTTGTTTATATATTTTAAAAGGCTTCTTTATGTAAAAAGTATGTATTAATCTATATATTTTATTTATATTTCTTTTTCTATGAACTACTTGTTCATGTTTCTTTGCCAGTGAGTCGTTTCTCACTGATATTTAAGGTCTCTTTGTTTTTTAGTTTAACTTTGATGTCACAGATACTGCATAATTTCCCAGTTTGTCATTTATCTTTTTTTTTTTTTTTTTTTTTTTTTGCGGTACGCGGGCCTCTCACTGTTGTGGCCTCTTCCGTTGCGGAGCACAGGCTCTGGACGTGCAGGCTCAGCGGCCATGGCTCACGGGCCCAGCCGCTCCGCGGCATGCGGGATCTTCCCGGACCGGGGCACGAACCAGTGTCCCCTGTATCGGCAGGCGGACTCTCAACCACTGCGCCACCAGGGAAGCCCTGTCATTTATCTTTTGACTTGGGTTTAGAGCAGGGAGGGGGACAGCACTAGTGGTGGATACTTGTGTTAAATTTATATAATTGAAGGGTTTGTTCATATAGCTTTCCCCAAACCAAGGAGCAGTCTGTCCCAAAGGTAAATTCAGGTTCCTGCTTCTTACACAGTTGCTTTAAGATGACAGGGGTTTTTTTCTGCTAGTTTTTGCACATTAAAAAAAAAAAAAAAAAGTGCCTTGAATTGACGGTCAGGATGTCCCCTTTACACTAATGTCAAATAAGAACAAATGGACAATGATATTCGAATCTCTCTAATCTGAGCAGACCACACAGAAGATAAGGAATAGCAGGGTCTTTCTGTGAGGGGCTATCTTTGAAATAATATTTATTATTAACAACAATTTATTTGAATGAAATTAATATAAGGAAGGCTGAGCTCCTCTGATTCAATAGCTTTGTCATCCAACTCTTACTGTAGGGTTGAGCTAATTAAAAAACATAGAACATATGAATAAACCTAGTTACTTCTAGCATCCCTCTCTTTTCAAAGGTAGAAGAACAAGTCCTTGCAGTTGTCCAGTGGCCCTCAGGGAAGCCCAAGATAATTTAAAGGTAAAAGACATCATGAAGTTTTTATTTTTCTGAATTTAGGAGTTGATCTTGGGAAGGCAAAATCAAAGCCTATGAGAGGAGACTGGTCACTTGATTAATATGGTCACAGACATCTGAAAATAGTGCATGATTGTAGCTTGACTGTCTATGTAGAGTGACAATACACTATTTAAAAATAAGCTGACCGAAGGTGACGTAATTAAGCCTTGGCTATTTCAGGAACTTCAGTGTGTTCCTTGTTTATTTATCTGTTTTTAAAAATCAAGGACACAAAATCCACATAAAGCACAGATCATTATTCTGGGTGAGACCAGAATCTGCCACCTGGGCGTGAAAGATAAACAGTAACCTTTTTTTACGTCTCGTGGAGATAGAGGTGCTCACGCTATTATACCACAGCTGATGGTCATAATGATGACTCGAGAACTGATTAGATGACTTCTGATGTACCAGGCTTTAGAAGTCAGTAATTTGTATATTTTAGTAAGCTTTCATAAGGAAATGGGCTTGGTGTGATTTCATTCAAAAACGGTTAACATTTAGAGTCATTGACCACACCCATACATAATGTAGACGAGGAGTTTGGTTTTCAAAAACAACTTTCTAAAATGAAATTAGTGCATGTGTTCATTTAAAATATATATATATTTGTTCAGACTGCTTAGTGCCACTAGGTCCAAGGATACAGCAATGTTTAGGGCAAAAAGATCTCTCCTTTAAGGGACTTTGTATTCTGTTGAAGTGAGGGGACAGATAATATATAATATAAGGAAACAAATAAACAAGACACAATTTTAGATAATAAGTTTTATGTAATAGTGAGTAGCCAGAGGTTATTTTTATAAAATAAAAATAATTTGACCATCCAAGGTATCAGTACTAACATTTAAACATATCTCATTCTAATATGGGTTTGGGAGTATATAACAAATGGGATATTATTCTATAGTTTTGTAAACTACTTTCAATTAACAATATGTATATTGCAAGTACTTTTCCATGTTATGAATTCTCCTACAAAGCCGTCTATGTGGCTACATGGAACACATTGGTTTCTATGACTATGACATGATTTATTTAAATTAATTTGTTCACCTTTAATTATTTGGATTATCCTTCATTTTTTCCTTATTATAATCAATGTTGTAATAAACACCAAGGTTGCTAAATGTACGTGTCTGTGATTTTTTTCTTTAGAGTAAATTTCTTGCACCAAAACTGTTGGCCTAAGTGATATTTAATTTCAAAAACTTAAGGACTTGGAACTTCCCTGAAGGTCCAGTGGTTAAGACTCTGCACTTCCAATGCCGGGGGCGCGGTTTTGATTCCTGTTGGGGAACTAAGATCCTACATGCCAGGTGATAGGGTGAAAAAAAAAAACCTGCTAAGAAAAAAAATTTAAGGACTTGATGCACACACTTTTAAACTGCCTTTTCAAAATGCTACAATAATTTATCCTCCATCTGGCAGCTCATGAAGTTTCCAGTTCACCCTGTCCTTGACAACCTGGGGTGATATCATTTCTTTTTTTCTCTCAACTATATAGGAGAAAATTTTCATTTTTATTTCAACATGCATTTCTTTATTTTTTTTCTAAGATAATTCACATGCCATAAAATTCACCATTTTTAAGTGTACAATTTACTGGCTTTTTAGTATATTCACAAAGTGGTGCAACCATTACCACTATCTAACTGCAGAGCTTTTTCGTCACTCCCAAAACACCCTACACCCGCTCGCAGTCACTCCCCAGCCCCCTCTTCTCCCAGCCCTTGGCAGCCCCTTTATCTACTTTGTATTTCTGTGGATTTTGGTCTCTTCTTGACATTTTGTATACATGGAATCATGCTCTTCTTTCTGGCTTTTCTGATTCCACTGTAACAAGGTTCATCTATGTTTTAGTATGTATCAGTATTTCATTTGTTTTTAGAGTCAAATAATATTCCATTGTATGGATATACCAAATTTTGTTTATCCATTTGTCAATTGATAGACATTTGGGTCGTTTCCACTTTTTGGCTCTTATGAATAATGCTGCTATGAACATTCATTGACGTGCTTTTGTGTGAACACAGTTTTCATTTCATATATATATATATGAATGCAATTGCTAGGTCATACGGTGACTCTATGTTTAAATTTTTGAGGAGCTGCCAGACTCTTCTCTATATTTATGTTCCCACCAGCATTGTATGAAGGTTCCAATTATTCCACACCCTTGACAGCCCTTGTTATTTTGTTTTTTGTTTGTTTGTTTTTTATTATAGCTATTTTTGTGGGTGTGAAGTGATAACTCATTGTGGTTTTGATTTACATTTTACTAATGACTATCTTGAACATCTTCTCACATACTTACTGGCTATTTTTGTAGATTCTTTGGGGAAATGTCTATTCAAATACTTTGTCCACTTTTAAATTGGGTTGTCTTTTTACTGTTGAGTTGTAACTGTTCTTTATATATTTTGGAGACTAGACTCTCATATATATGATTTGCAAAATTTTCTCCCATTCTCTGGATACCTTTCATTTTCTCTATAGTATGATTTGATACACAAAACTTTCTAATTTGGATGAAGTACAATTTATCTATTGTTGCGTCTTTAGTGCCATATCTAAGAAACCATTGCCTAATCCAAGGTCACAAAGATTTATACCTATGTTTTCATCTAAGAGGGTTCATAGTTTTACATTTAAGTCTATGATCTATGTTGAGTTAATTTTTAAAAATATAGTGTGAGGCAGGGGTCCAAAGTAATTCTTTTCACGTGAATATCTAGTCCCAACACCTTTGTTGGAAAGACTCTTCTTTCCCCATTGAATGGTTTTGGCATCCTTGTTGAAAATCAGTTGATCATAAATGTCAGAGTTTATTTTTTGACTCTCAATTCTATTGCATTGATTTATATGTCTACCCTTAATCCTGTATCACACTGTCTTATACATTGTAGCTTTGTAGAAAGTTTTGAAATCAAGTCTTCCAACTCTGTTCTGCTTGTTCAAGACTGTTTTGGCTATTCTCAGTCCTTCACCTGTCCATATCAGTTTCATAATTGGCTTGTCAGTTTCTTCAAAAAAGGAAGTTGGAATTTTGACAGAGAATGCACTGAAGCTGTAGATCAATTTGAGTATTACCATCTTAACAATATTGTCTTTCAATCCGTGAATACAGATGTCTTCCCATTTATTTACATCTTATTTAATTTCTTCCAAATAATGTTTTGTAGTTTTTGGTATACAAGTCTTGAACTTCTTTGGTTAAATTTATTCCTAAATATTTTATTTATTTTGATGCTATTGTAAATGGAATTGTTTCCTTAATTTCATTTTTGGATTGTTCTTTACTAGTGTTAAGAAATACAACTGATTTTAATGTACTGATCTTGTATCCTGCAACCTTACTGAAGTCATTTATTAGCTCAGATAGTTGTGTGTGTGTCTATGTTTGTGTGTGTGTATTCTTCAGGGTTTTCTATATATAAGATTGTGTACTCTGCAAATACAGATAGATTTACTTCTTCCTTGGCAAACTGGATCCTTTTATTTCATTTCTTGCCTAATTACTCCATTATAAGAACCCACCCTTATGACTTCATTTAACCTTAATTACCTACTTAAAAGGCCCCATCTCCAAATACAGTCATACTGAAGGTTAGAACTTCAACATAGGAATCTGGTGCGGGGGGGGGGGACACAATTCAGTCCATGACAGTTATCTGCAACTTACAAGAGTTGTAAAGTTGCTCAAAGACAAAGGTACAGAGACCCCACAGAATCAGATAACCTAGACAATGCCTAATTTTCCATTGAAGATATATAGTAATCATTTTTGTCCACTTAAAAGTCTTTCAGATTTTTTCCCTGCAATTAAGAAAAAAGTATTTGCTATTCTTATACGTTTATTTGTCCAATTGAATTTTACAGTATTGTTAGATTGTTTTAAAATGGTGCTAAAATTTTAAACTAATATTGTTTAAAAAATTTAAGTATGGTTAGGGGTATTTGACATTGTTATTTTACTGTATGTTTCCATCCAGGAACACTTAAAATTTTTTTTAAGTTCTCATTAAGCCTTTGTACTTTTCATCATTTAGATTCTGAACAATTCTTATTAATTCCAAAGTAATTTACCTTGGTGTTGTAAGGGAAATTCCTCTTTCCTTTATGGTTCCTAAATAGTTATCACTGGAAACTAATAATTTTTAAAAATAATGAGTTTTGTATCCATCATCTTATAGAATTCTCCTATTGGTTCTAGTTATTTTTCAAAATTATCTTTATTTTAATATTCATCCTTATAGTTGGGTAAATTGAGGATGTAAGTTGAGTGCTTATGGTTCAGCTGAGAGCAAATTGATTGCATCTAAGAATATTTTGTCTGTCTCTCTGTATGTGTACAGGGGTGTGTTGAGAAGAGTCTGGGTAGGAACATGAGACAACTTTCTTAATGATGTCTTCTTGGAATTAACACTATTTGTCTTGGAGACCTAGATTCCCAGAGCTGGCTTATCCATTTCATGTGACATCTCCTCCTCTGGTTTTAGAAGGAACTAGGAAACAAGTAGTTATTGTACATGGGATGCAGGTCCTCAGGACCTGTGGTCTGTTAGCACACAGATTCCTTAACTGCTTGTAGGTGTTCCCCAAATTTCTGGATGCTACTGTTCAAAAATATTTTGACTTAGCTTTTATCCCTTTGCTCTTGGAATACTCAGGTTTGTGTGACACGGAGTTCAAGACTTCTTCAAATCTAACTCGATTTCAAAGTTAAGTGGCAACCTGATGCATGCTGCAGTAGCTTTAAGCATTCCCTAGGATACCCACAAAGATCGTCTGGAAGGGAGCTGTTTGTCTTAACAGATTTTCAAAGCAGATAAAACCTGTCCATTTTGGAGACAGATGTCAGAGAACATACATCAGCCTGGAGAAGAGTACTCGTGGTTTTAAAGCTCCAAAGAATCGATTCATACGTCCTAGAAATGCATCTAGAGTTAAACACCTCTTGGAGACTTATGAACAAGTGCACTGATGGATAATCTTTTGAAACCAAATATGTTCTTAAATAGAGGAATTTCTGTATTCTCACATCTTCCAAGAAGCTTTCCCTAACCGCTGCCTACCCTCAAGCTGAGTTACCCCTTATCTGAAATCTCACGAAACTTTATTTTTACACTTCTATGGCCTTGACACTTTCTGCTGGTATTTGTGTTGTTCGTGCTCCCCATGTATCAGCCTCACTGTGCCAGAAGATTGGGTATCTCCCACTGCACTTACTGAAATGCTTTGCAAACAGTAGGTGCTCAGTATATGAAGTTCTGTGGATGGACATTTTGATAATCTGTAGTACCTGTTATATTCTACTGAAAATTAGCAAAGTGCAATTAACTTCAATTTTGTAGTTTGGGATTTTCAGTAAACTACCCTCCCTCCAAGAAATGCCTAACAGTTTAGCTACAATAAGACATTAACATACTTCCATCACGATGAGGATTTGAGGCCCTTCATCTTTCCACTTTTGTCTAATTCAAGTTAGTCAGGCTAGTAAAAGAAAAGCCTTTTCCTCTTAGCAACGCAACCCGCTCCCCTTCTCTGGCCTCTTTCTTCGCTTATGTTAGTGAACTACTTCAGCCCCTGCCTTCAGTGTTAACAGTTTGTGCTTGTGAGTAACCCTCGGCTTTTGGTGATGAGAGATGTTCGAAACCTATTCTGACACAGAACCCTTCCTCGCTTCCGATTCCTCTGCTTCTTGGGGGTGGAAATAGTTTCTCCGCTTTGAAACGCTGGCAGGGAAAAAGAATGGGGGAGAAAATTGCATTTAAACTTTTAAAAGTTGAATCACGGCTGGTTGCACAGCAAAAGCTCCACAGTGTGGAGAAAGTCTGAATGTGATTTGGGTTGCGCGGGGTTGGGCTGGGCGCCTTCGGGGGGAACCGGCGGGGTCGAGCCCCCGGAGCGGCGAAGGCCCGGGCCGTGGCCTCCCGCCGCATCCCCGCACCTCCCCCGCCCCCTGACTGCGTTCGGGCTGCGCCCCCCCCCGCCGGGCACGGAGGTCGCGCGCTTGCGTGTTGCGGCCAGAGCGCCCGACCCGGAGACCGGTCCCATAAAACGCCGAGCGAGTAGGGGGCGGCGCGCAGGAAGGGAGGAGGACCGGGGACCTGCGGGGCTGGTGGGCGTTCGCGGGTGGAGACGTAGAAGATGTGACGCCGCGGCCCGGCTGTTGCCAGACCAGCGGACGCTGTGCCCGCGGTTGCAAAAGGATCCCTGGCGCTGCAGCTTCGGGAGGCGGCCCTCCCGAGAGCGGCGGCTGCGGAGACACCCAGCCCTTACTCCCAGCTCCCGGGCCGCTCGGCTCCCCGTGCTCTAGGGCCGGCGGAGAGGGAAGCGGCGGAACAGCTTGAGGCTGGGGGCCCGCGGGCGCGGCCGCGTGCCGCGTGGAGGGAGGCTGGGGGGCCGGGGCCGGGGCCGCGCCCCGGAGCGCGTCCGAGGCCGGGGCCGGGGCGCGGCGACTCCCCGCGCGGCTCCAGGGGCTCGGGGACCCCGGCAGGGCGCTGTCGGGGCCATGGCAGCCGGGAGCATCACCACGCTGCCCGCCCTGCCGGAGGACGGCGGCAGCGGCGCCTTCCCGCCCGGCCACTTCAAGGACCCCAAGCGGCTGTACTGCAAAAACGGGGGCTTCTTCCTGCGCATCCACCCCGACGGCCGAGTGGACGGGGTCCGCGAGAAGAGCGACCCTCACGGTGAGTGCTGGCCGGCTCTTCCTACTCCGTGCCGTCTCCATCCCCTGCCGTTCTCTCTCCCGCCCCTGCCTTCCAGCCTCCGCGCTCCTTCCTTCTCTTCACTCTGACCCCAGTGGGGCTTGTGGTCTCTCCCCGCGCGGCCCTCGGCGGTTTTGGGTTCACCACTCGGCCCCTCCTGCCCCGAGCTGCGGTGGCGGGTAGACGCTCGCCCAGGCTTTGGAGTGTGCCGGTTTCCACTGGTACACCAGTACCCCGGGCCCGGAGCCGCAGGGCGCCCGGGCCTTGCCGGTGACTCTCTGTGGTAATGTGAATTGCAGTTGCAGACAACCTGTCGCGTCGGGGATGCCCGGCGGCCGAGCAGAGGTGGGTGGCTCACGGAGGTGCCCCTGGCGCCCCCAGCCTGAAGTTCCGACCCCTTCTTTGTGGGATGCGCGCAGTCCCCGGGACAAAGCCAGGAGGGACCGCAGCCGAATTAAACGTTCCTTATTGGAAAGATACCTTTCCAGAGTCGTGCCCTTAAATTCCAGTATGGTAGGATCCAAGGCAGTTGGCACACTGCTGTCACCCATCCATTTCTGTTTTTTTTCCCCGAATTTCGGAAAACTGAAAAAGCAGAAAATATGGACTGTATTAATAAAGTGCTATAGACCTTTGTTGCAGTAGTGAAAAGAACTGCAAAAACTTTAATCTTCCACTTGCAGTTATTAGCTATGGGACCTTGAGCGACATTTAACCCTTGAGCCCGTTTCCTCATCCCGAAAGGGGGGGATAATCAACCTTGCATCAGGATTGAGGATCAAATGAGGATTTATATAAAGTGCACAGAGGACTCAGTTTACTAGTATGCAGTTTCGTTTTCTGTAAAAATAAAATGAAATAAAATAAAATCTATCTGTGGTTATAGAAAGAAGATGGGCCTAATTCATTAGTTCTCAAACTTTAGGGATGCATTAGAATCACCTGGAAGGTTTGTTATACCACATGGCTGAACCATCTCCCAGAGTTTCAGATTGCTTAGGTCTGGAGTGGGGCCTGATTTGCATTTCTAACAAGTTTCCAGGTGATGCTGACCAGGGAGCACACTTTGAGAACCCACTGGTCTAGAGAAAAGATGGAGAAAAAGGTGTAAAATGGGCTGGTAAAAATACTGATGAATTGGAAGTGAGAGAAAGAGATCAGATATATTTTAACTGTCACCCTGTAAGTGTAGGTAAAACATCTCTTTTGAAAGCTGTTTGTTATGCCATTCCTTCCTTTATGGGTTTCAGGTGGAAAACCTGATCCTCTTATTGCCTGAGAAAAGACCCGCAGGAGTCCGTCTTTACCTTATGATGCTAATGGTGTGTCCTTCACTTTGGAATGCGGGAGTAGGAAGTGGAGAGAGCTCTGCGGCCAAGCCTCCATTGACAAATTCGGGAATGGGAAATGTGCTTTCATAAGAATTGAGTCTTTATTGGTTCCAAAATAGCAACAAGCAAAAGATGCAGGCCTGTAATTTTTTTCAGGCCTGCCGTAATTAAAAAGTTTTCTCATGTACTATCCAGTAAATCTGAAAAGATGCTTTTAGTCCAGTCTATTGGTTGCGCTCCTTCTCTATTTTGGTAACTTAAATGGATTTCACAAAATTACCTTTGTGTTTGGAGTTTGTTCTGCAGTTGTCTGCCAGGCTAGCCCAGCTGGTTAGGGCAAGGTGCACATATGTCCCAATTAGTTTTGCTCTTTTCTAGTAGCACAAAAAGGAACATGTTCTTTGACTAGAAGACAGAAGAACTCTCCCCCAGATTGGGTTCATATTGAGGCTTCCCCTAGTAGTCTCTTTTTTTTTCCAGACATTTTATTACAGTTTTTTCTTTGACACTCTCGATACCCTATTTATTTAGAACAAAACTGTATAGGGGCTAGTGAGTGAGGGTAATTCTGAATTGTATACCGCATTACCACCCTTGTAAAAACAACTGTTAACTTTTTATTCCCAATTCTGGGCTGGGCTGTCATTTTTGTAATCTGATTTTAACTCAGTGGTACTCAAATAGGATTGGTACTGCCTGCCGCCTTCCACCTCCAGGGAACATCTAGCAATGCCTGGAGACATTTTTGGTTGTCACGCCTGGAAGGGTGCTATTGGCATTTAATAAGTAGAGGCCAGGGATGATGCTACAGTGCACAAGATACCTCCCTAATCCCTCAGCAAAAAATTTTCTGACCCTAAATGTTAGAAGTGCTAAGGTTGAGAAACCCTACCAACTTGATAACTAGCTAAAGACAAGATGTTTAAAAGTGAAGAGTAGAATATTCATCCAGATCTGTGGAGAGCACTGATTTTTTAAAATCACCTTGTACCAGGTGATAGCCTGTCAAGAATGTAAACCTAAAAATGATAAATTTAGGCCACTTTTGTATAGCCCAACCTGGACATAAGTTTAAGTACAATGTTTTTTTCTGGCATGTCGAAGGCGTACTGATAGTTGACCAAACCAGGAGGAGACTGATGGGAAATATATAAGAAAAAAAATGACTTAACAATATCCTCTGAATTACATCCCCTCCATTCCCCTGAACGAGCAAAACTGATCAGGAAACGTGGAGAAATCAGTTAACCGTTGCTACAGCTTCCCTCTGAATTAAGGCCCAGATATCTAGACCTGTTTGAAACGTTGGAAAACCCAAGGCCACATTCCTCAAACTGTTTTGCCCAATGGACCCTAAAATCTGTCATTGGAGATTTATTTCTTTGGCATTAACACTTTCCGGACGTTTCTAAAATGCAAATACAGTCTGCTCTCCGTATCCGAGGGTTCCCTATCTGCGGAGATGAGGGTCAACAGTGCTGCGCCACGGTCCTCGAGGGACCTGAGGCTCCATGGTTGTTGGTACCTGCGGGGGATCCTGGAACTGGCCCCCCACGGATACCGAGGGAGGAGGGTCCCTCTGGAAGGAAGGTTCAGCAGCGTTCGGATTTTACCGTTTAGCGTGGATTAAATTGCATGTGCAGTTTCTTCCCCAAAACCTGACCAGGAGGACTGGAGTTGGCGGAGCTGGGGGCGGGGAGCTGTGAAGGATGTGGCATGAATGTGGGGCGCTGGTTAGGGGCCGGGGCCGTAGCTCAGGTTCTGGAGAGGACACGGGGCGGGGCGGGGCGGACGGCGGCAGAAAGGAAGGGATCACACGCCTGGACGCCCGTGTTTCCAGCTTCACAGTGTTGCTGAAGATCACCTGTGCTTCTCACCTGGGTTCTCTCTTGAATTGCTTTCACAAGTTGCCTTTGAAAAGGCAACTTCCCTGCACTTTTCTTACAATCCTGGAATAACCTGTGTTTGACACGAGAGTCTTGCTAAAAGCATGATAAAAACAAGGACGGAGCCTGTGCTCCCCCCCCCCCCCCCCCCGTGCGCGGTGCACACCCACCACCTTCCCTTCGGCGTCCTGGATGTTTTTACAGGCCCCTTCCAAATGCCCATGGGAATGGGTAACGTTAAGTGTATGCTCTAAAGTAGTGAACCACGTGAAAACATTCAGAAGAGAGAACATTTTATCCCAAGCAGCACGTACAACATGTGGTGGAGTATAGTGAGGGCAAAGTATGCTGCCTGTGTGCATTTTAGCATCAAATTTATTCCAGATGCTGTTATTTTGGAGAAAATGAAGGTAGTTAGAAGTGCTGGGTCTGCCCTTGGGCCTCTCCCAGGAGGGCTTCTCCCAGGAGGTGACTGCCTGCTTGCCCCACTTCTCGGCTTCCAGACTCCAGAGGACACTGAGCCTTGAAGAGACTGAGGGACCCGTCCACTCCCATGTGGAGAAGGGATGGGATCCCAGTCTGTGTGACCCCTGTGCCCTGTGCCATGGCACATACTCCATGCAACCCCTCATCGTTAAAAACATGAACTTGCGAAATTCAAAGAGAGGCTTCAGGCCTTTTGTGTCACAGATTTTAAAGATATTCTGGGGGGGAAAAGTTTTTGTTGTTTTTTAAAGGAAGTTTGTATAGTGTAGTAATGATCTGGCTAGATTCTGTGAGTGGATTATTCTCTGTTCATGATTTATGCGCTTTGAGAAAATGCTGACACCTTAAGGTAGGAACCATGACTTCTCCATATAAGTAAACATCATAAAAGGTTTGTATCTTTTACTCTGGGAATTCTCACTAAATGTCAGCTGCTGATGAGAACATTCTGTGTGGACCATCCCGTGGAATAACTCCTCCTGGACCACATGATGTATAAAAGCACGGTCGAGGTTTATAGTTCTCTTGGTGCAGTTAACACATATGTTTAGACACTTGGTCAGTCTTTTAATGAAGATGATTATATGTAACAAAATTATATTTGGAAAATATTTTGGAATCTTCAAAGCTGACTATTAGCTTTTTAAGGGTAATCTATACAAAGATGAATCATTTCTCAGGATAATTAGTTTAAAGCTCTCATTATGAATCCTGTTTCCTTTAAAAAGCACCTGAGATTTTTACCACGTACGTGTGATATAAAATTCCTCAGGTATGCTGTGCATTTTGATCATTCTTTCTTTCGTGGCCAATACCCTAGAATCCTGAATGCTCTTCTACTTCATCTCCTTTTCTCTTTTTAATTCTGGATTCTGCACCTGGTATTCTGCTTAAATCATTCTGGGCCCCAGCAGTCTTCCAGTTCAATCACATGAACTTATCCAATTTGTGGCCCTACTTCTGACACTTGACACCATTGTCTGCCTCTGTCTTCCCGAGAATTCCTTGGCTTCTGTTACACCACATCAACCTGGTTTCCTCTCACCCATCCGACCGTCTTTTCCTCTGGTTTCTCCTTCTTTTGGTCTTTTGCTATAATATTCCCCAAGGCTCTGTCTTGGCACTCTGCCCGTCTTTCTGTGTACTCGTGGTCCTTCGGCAGATCAATTATAGTCTTTGTCTCTGACTTCCCACCTCTGTGTTAGTACCGTGTTTCTCACTGCTCGATGGACAGATGCACTGCCACAGCCTCAACTCAACCCACGTAAAACAGACCGTA